AAAAAAAAAAAAAAAAAAAAAAAAAAAAAAAAAAGAAAGAAAGAAAGAAAGAAAAGCCCTATATCTTTTATGCATTCAGAGCTTATCTGCATGTTTTCATCAACCCAGTTCAGGAAAACATACTTCCTTTTCTGTTGTTAGTCTCATCCCCTGGAGTGACTCTTCCTTGAGGCAGTTTTCTAGAGTAATTATTGGTGGAAAAAAGAGTGCTTTTTCCTAAGAAACTGTAGTAAGCTAAAAAGCTTTTGCTTTTTAATCATGGCTTTATCTTTTTACTTGGTAACTTGGTTACTTGTCTTGTTGCTGAGACAAGATACCCAATTACCCAGTGTTAAAGGAAGAAAGGTTTATTTCAGCTCATAGCTTTTAGTTTACCGTTGGCTGTTTCCAAGAAAGGGTGGCATGGCAAAGGAGAAATAGAAAATGGCAGGCAGAGTAAAACAGCAAAGCAGGGTAATAGCAAGCAACAATAGCAGCAACCTGCCTCTCCTTTGTATCCCTTTCAAGCTTCCTGCCCTTTGGGTGGTGCAGCCCACACCCAGGTGGGCCTTTCCATTATCCAAACTCAGAACTGTGCCAAACCAATTGGTGGAATCATTTAGTAATCACATGTTCTTTTTTTTGTATCGGATATCAAACTCAGGACCTTGCTCTTGTGAAGCAGGCGTAGTGCCACTGAGCTATATCTCCAGCAGTAATCGCATATTCTTAATTCCACCATCACAGAATTAATCTCAGCATCACATACCCTGGACTCAGCCACCTCTGCAAAACCCCGCTGTGACCACATGCGGCTTTGGGGGATGCTTAGACGCAGCCTTATACTTGGGATTTGGCATTCTTCCTATTCTGCGATATCCCAGATCCATAATAATATCCATGTACTGTAAGTTCTTTTATATGCCACAGTTCACAAGTAATACACACTGCCGCGTTATTGTGTAGTAATGTATGACGCACACTATGCACTATATTGTATATGTGTATATGTTGTGCACATGCATGTACCTTCCTTTCCAACTTACTGAACTTTTTCTTATTCTCTCTCACACTTTCTGCCATATTCTTTATTTTACTTCTTGGGTTTTGTTTTATTTTGTTTTTTGTTATGAGACAGGGTCTCACTTGTAGCCCAAGCTGGCCTCAAACTCATACAATCCTCCTGCCTCAGCCTCCTGAGTGCTGGAATCACAGGCATGAGCCACCATGTCTGGCAATCTTGTTTCTGTTTTATGGAGGAGTTGGTTTGTTTTTGACATGGGATCTCACTGAGTTTCCCAGGGTGGGCTTAAACTTATGACCAACCTCAAGTGATCTTCCTGCTTCAGCCTTCCGCGTGCTAGCCATACAGGTGGACACTTGGTTCTGTCGCCTGCTTTCACCCGTAAGATTGACTGCTTTCCCTTTGGAATGCCAGCTGACATGGCTTTTTCTTCTTGTCTCTGGCCCAAGTTTGTTTGATTTCTACTTTTGTGAGATGAACAAGAAGGCAAAACTCTGCTCTTCGGCTGATTAAAACATAAAAGAATATGGAGTTTAGAAAATAATCAATTTTTTTATTCTAAATTTAAAAAATAAGAAAATTTGGAAAACTTGAAAAAAAATTATTTCTGTTTTGTGAACCAAAGAAGTCACTGTTGGGCCGGGGATTTGGCTCAGTGGTTCCGCTGCCTGCCTCGCAATCACAAGGTCCCAAGTTTGAAGTCACTGTTTGGGTCCAGTAATGTAGCTCAGTGGTGCAGTGCCTGCCTCGCAGGGAAGAGGCCCTGAGTTTGATTCTCAGTACTGGAAAAGAAAGAAGAAGAAAAAAATGAAGTCACTATGATTTTTGTGGTCCTCCATTTTTTCTCTGTGCATGTGTTTACATATTTTGATTCTGTGATTATGCTTGATAATGTGATAATGACTTTTCAGTAGACTTGAATCAGAGAATCATCTGGGCTAGAAATTTGTTGAAAGATTTTAGATAGATTTTTATAAGTGTTCAATAAATATGTGTTAAAAACGTGCCTCAGTTTCCCCATTTCTCCTGTTGGGGAAAATAATTTACTGCAGTTTTTCTGAGTATCAGTGAGAAACAGACTGCTAGTGTTCACATGGCAGCAGGGCACAGTGGGACACACCTGTAAACCCAGCGACTTGGGGGCTCGTGCACAAAAGTTACAGGCAGCCTACCCACCACCGTGAGCTTGACTCGAAATAAAACTGGAGAAAAGGGCTGGTGATACAGCTGAGTGGAAGCGTTGCCATTCCACCCCAGACGGGCAGGATGGTTGGTTAGGTTATGCCGCCTGTGACATCACCTCTGCTTCCTAGAGAGCACTGCTGGAGAAGAGGCAGAGGAAGAAGCGCCTGGAGCCACTCATGGCCCAGCCAAACCCAGAAGCCGGGCTGCGTCGGCTGAAGCCCAGCAGCAGTGAGGAGCACGCGCTTTTGGTAGAACCTCAGACTCTTCACAGCAATGTCATCCTGCATGGTGAGCTTTTCACTGGAGTGAGCTTCACAGACCTGAGAGAAGGCAGAAGGGTTCTGAGATGAATCCTCCCCTTGTTAGCGTGGTTACTCAGTATGCCCACAGGTCTTCGTAATCCTTCTGGCTCTTTGAGTAGAATTTTTAAAAGTATTCTCGTCGTCAGAAGATGGCTTCATGTTCATGTCCATCCTAGAACTTGTTTTCAGATGCCAATTGAATTAATCTAAAATGACCTATTTCAAGTACTTACAGGATTTGGGGGGTTGTTTGCAGTGTGTCTTAGTTACTTTTGTTGCTGAGACAAAATATCTGACACCTGAAGTTAAAGGTGGAAAGGTTAATTTGGCTCATGGTTTATAGAGGTTTCACTTCATAGTTGCTGGTCCTAGGCAGGGCAGCATTGCAAGAGGGGTATCACAGAGGAGAAACAGTCCATAGCAGGCTGAAGGCACCAAAGCAGTGAAGTAGTGAGGAACCAGCAGCAAACAACAGCAGCATTCCTTTTCTTTGGAGGGACAGCTGGACACGCCATAGTGGGTGGAACCCTGTGTGTGCTGGGCAAGCATTACACCACTGAGCTACACCCTAATCCATGAGAAGGTTACAGTTTTGATTGTTGTGTTTGGCAGCTGATAGCCATGATCCAAGAGTAGGCAGAGAGTATCTTTTCTTATAGCAAGTAGCTCAGAGGAGAAAGAATAGGATGAAGAGCCTCTCTGTCATGCTGCTCAGACAGAATCTGTACTGTAAAGGACCTGCTTTGTTCTCTCGATCTTGTCCTTTCTGTGCCCCCTCTTCAGTGGTGGGATTGGAACTCAGTGCTCTGCCCATGCTGGGCAAATATTCTACCACTGAGGTATACCCCCAGTGTCTTGATCTTAAGTTTTAGTTTTAAAGTACAACATAAAGTATATGTTACTTCACTAACCAAGCATGTTATCAACATGAACTTCAGCTTGGATAAATGTCCTTGCAGTATTTAGGAAAGAGGAGTGATGAAATGGTGTGCTAGTTAGGAATTGTGAGCACACGTCTCAAAACCACCTAGCTGTTTAGTATATAACACTTTCCTCCTTTGTTTCTTGGGCTCCTAGGCATTGATGGTCCAGCTGTCTTCCTACAGCCTGATACTCATGATGTGGAAACCAAGCCTCCTATTCTCTCGGTAGGCTCTTGTGCTACAGAGGAAGATACTGAAGGCAGTGTTGATGGAGAAAGCACTGTAAATTCTACTTCCAAACAAGACCTTCAGGAAATTCTCCAAAAACACGGTGAGGATTAGTGATGATTTTAAGGCACCTCTGCCCCGCTGAAGTCTGGGGCTGGTGATCTTGTCTGGTCCCCTGTCCCCTCATCAGGGTATGCCAGGCTTTCACGTTACCCTCCTGCCCAGCCTGGTTCCAGCTTTGGCATGGGTAACCTCATCCTGTCATGGCAGCCCCTGGATGTGCCCTTGTGCCCTTACTGTTAGTGTTTTCTTCCTGCCCACATCTAGGCCTGGACAGGAGGTCGTCGGGCCCCGTGTCTCCTGCTCTGTCTCCTCGCTGTCATCCCTCTCTCCTCCAGCCACCAAGCAGGGAAGACTAGGCTTTTCTTTTGCTTCTCCCACATTGTCTCTTCCTTCATCTTCTAAGCTTTAACAATGAACTGGGCTCTCCCTCCACTGCAGTGGGACTCTGTGGCTGAATTCTTCAAGCTCACATGCTGATACATAGTATGATCAAAATATCTGGTGAAGGGCCGGGGATTTAGCTCAATGGTTCCACTGCCTGCCTCACAAGCACAAGGTCTGGACTTTAATCCCTGGTACCAAAAAAAAATTTTTTTGGTGAATATTTAAAAAAATTTTTTTAATTGTTAAAGTGAAAAATGCACTGCCATTAATAATTCCCCTAAAAAAAATAATCCTCCTCAAGATGCCTTTCCTCCCTTCAAACATTCTTATCCTACCATTCTTGCTACTTCTTTGTGTATGTAGCTATGTTTTGAGACAGAGTTTCTCTATGCAGTTGAGGCTGGCCTTAAACTCACTATGTAGCCCAGGTTGGTAGCAGTCCTCCTGCCTCAGCCTCCTGAGTGCTGGGATTACAAGTATGCACCACCACTCCCAGCTTTTTTTTTTTTGGTCAGTCTTATTGTGTAGTTCAATCTGGACTTGAGCTCACTATGTAAGTCTAAGTAGGCATGATCCTCCTGCCTCAGCCTTCCAAATGCTGAGATTACAGGACTGTGCCTCCATGTCTGGTGATTCTTGCCACTTTCTGAAGCAATTCTGGAAGTCCTCTTTCATTAGTATCTTAGTCACTTTCTCACTCTAAGATAGAACACCTGACATTGCAACTACAAGGAGAAGTTTATTTTGGCTCATGTTTCCAGCCACAGTTGGCCGGCTCCAAGGCAGAAAAGCATGGTAGAAGGGAATGGCTGAGGAGTAGCTGCTTACCTCACAGCAGGAAGTAGAAAACATGAAGGGAAGAACCAGGAAGGGAGATACACTCTGCCAAGCTACGCCCCCAGTGACCCACCTCTTCCAACCAGGCCCCATCTCCTGACAGCAAGTCACCTAACCTCCCCCATAAACCTTCCAAAAGCCCTGCCTCTGAGTGCATGAGGCCATTGTGGACATCTAGATAGATTTAAACTGTAACATTTCTCCTTGTCCCCTAAAAAATGTATGTGCAGGAAAACCATTTAGGAAATGGTTTGACTCAGAGTTATAGTATAGTCTGCGTGTGTGCAAGAATGAAAAGCAGGGGAAAAATAGAATTATTGTGCCAGGGGATAGAGGATTAAGAAACGTATCAAGAGATAATGATTATCTAATGCTTTTCTCATTGCTGGGACAACATATCTGACACAAATTAGGGAAGAAAGCCTTATTTAGCTCATAGGTTTTTTTTTGTTGTTTTGTTGCTGTTGTTGTTTTGAGACAGGGTCTTACTATGTAGTTGAGACTGACCTGGAACTCACTATGTAGCCGTACGCTGGTCTCAAACTCACAGTGATCCTCCTGCCTCAGGTTCCTGAGTGCTGGGATTACAGGTATGCACCACCACAACCGGCTTTTAGCTCATAGTTTGTAGAGGTTTCAGGCCATAGTCAGCTGGCTTCAGGACAGAATGGCATGGCAGAGGAAGAGAAACATTCCATGGTTTGGCAGGCAGAAGGCAGCAAAGCAGCAAGCAGAGAGCCAGGTTTTCCCTTTTATCCCATCCAGGCAACCAACCTTTTGGAGAGTTGCCACCCAAAACTATGCTAATTCCAATCAGTGGACTAATTTAGTACCATATTCCTTTAATCCCAGTATCACGTATCCATGATCCAGCCATCTCCAGGAAGCCCCACTGTGAGCACATCAGGCTTTGGGCAAACATCTAGATATAAGCTGTGATAGTGATTAAGCTGATCCAAGAAGGATGCATGTCTACCTGTGCTCTGGTGTCAGCTGGGAAGCAGCCAAACCATGACAGGTTGAGTGTCTACTGCACACTTATCTGATACACTTCTAGGGCTAAGGGCTTTGCATAGTGGTAGAGTGCATAGTTAGCATGCTTGAGGCCCTGGGTTCAGAACCTAACATATAAAGAGAAGGAAGGTGGACATCCTTATACTGATGTCACAGATTTTTGTGTCTCTTTTTTATGTATACACCAATTAGCTTTTAGGCTAAGTAACTTGCCCTGGGTCACACTGCTGGTTAGGTGCAACCTGGAGCAGAAGAAATAGCACATGCAGACATCCAGGTGTAGAAAGCCTGAGATGCATGTGCCTGTCAGCTGGGATGGTGACCAGAGAGGAAGATGTTGCAAAGGTTTGTGACATGGACAAAGTAAAACTTAGCTTTGGAGCCAGCTTAGTGGTTGTGAATCTCATCTCTGCCACTTACGTCTAGAAAGGAGGGCAAAAATCTTTACTCTTTTCAGCATTAGTTTATGAAGGTGATCATGGTACTTCTTATGACTTTTATCTAGATGTTCCCCCAAAGCTTCATGTGATTATAGGTGGAGCTTTTCATATCTGGCTGGTTCTAGGGTGTGTGGCACAAAATCCACTGATTGGTTTAGCATCGTTCTGGGTTTGGATAATGAGTATGATAGGCACCACTCAAAAAACTGGTAGGCTGGATGGAATAAAGAGAAAAAGCTCATTGCTCTTGGCTTATACTGCTTGCTGCTTTACTGTCTCCTGCCTGCCACACCAGAGATTGTATTCCCTCCACCGTGCCCCTCTGCTATGCCCCTGCCTTGGAGCCACCCAACTACGAACTGAAACCTCTACGAACTTTGAGCCAGAATAAACATTTCTCCCTTTAATTTTGTGAGTGTTGGATATTGTGTCTCAACAATGAGGAAAATAACTAAGACACTTTCCTATTACTTTACTACCACTATTTTTGTAACAAAGGAAAGTGAAAGATATTGTGGAAAGGGTAGGAGCCAGAGAAGATGACTTTGTATTTAACTGAAAGCTAAATTAGTTACCCTGAGTCATCTAGTGAACTGACTCCTGGTCTAGTTCTTTATTCCTGATTTAAGTGCCAGGTTGCTGCCTTCTGCCCAACTCTGTGAAATGACTGATGGTTTCTTAGAATAGGTCTCTTAGTGCATGACGACGAGTGAATGCTTTGAATTTCTGAGCAGCTTGCATCTTGACTGTGAGACCCATGTACTATTCTCTTAAGCTCTAAGTTAGAAGCATCAGTTTGGCAGATCATGTTCCTTATGCAGGTCCATTTTGGTTGTCACAAATATTTGGGTGAAATATTTGATCTCTGTCTTAATATGTAGTTACAGAAACCAAGTTCTTGGGTATAAAAATGGCATTTGAAGACAGTACCAAGTGAAGACAGCCCCTATGATAGTTGAATCTTGACTTTTTGTTACCAAAAAAAGATTAATTTTTCTTTCTTTTTTTTTTAGATAGGAGGATATCACTGTGTGGTTCAGGCTGGCCTTGGCTTTCCAAATGCCTGGAGTACAGGCATGCACCACCACACCTGGATAGCTTAGCTTAATTTTCTTTCCTTCCTTCTTTTCTTTTCTTTTCTTTTCTTTTCTTTTCTTTTCTTTTCTTTTCTTTTCTTTTTTTTTTTTCTTTTCTTTTTTTCGTGCTTATGAGGCAGATTCCTTCCTTTTTCTTTTCTTTTCTTTTCTTTTCTTTTCTTTTCTTTTCTTTTCTTTTCTTTTTTTTTTTTCTTTTCTTTTTTTCGTGCTTATGAGGCAGGCAATGGAACCAGTGAGCTCAATCCTTGGCCGATAGCTTAATATTTTAAAGAGCTCAATTAAGGTGATAGCTGCACATAGTGATGCACACCTGTAATCTCAGCACTTGGGAGGCTGAGGCAGGATGATAGCTATTAGTTTTATCCTAGGCTACATAGTGAGTTCAAGGCTAATCTGAACTATATAGTGAGACCCTGGCTCAAAAAAAAAAAAAAAAAAAGTTATGGTGGCATTAGTGAATGGGAACATAGAGATGGATGTGAGAATATGAAGACTTGTCAAAATTTGGGTGAGGTAGATGTCTGTTTTGGATTAGAATAGTTAGGAGATCCCCCAACCCCTACCCCGTGCTCAGGTCTAACCCAGGGCCTCACACATGTGAGCTGTGCACTCTGCCACTGAGCTGCACCCTCAGGCCACTTAGTAGTGTTTCAAATAAGAAAATCAAAGCTCTGTTTCATTTTGTAAACCAATATTGGCAGTTGTTGACAGTGTTTCCTTTCTGCAGGTATCTCAGGTAGTTTGAACTTTGATGAGGACAAGACTGATGATGAGGAAGAAGGACAAAAAACAAGTTTCCAGTTACATTATTCAAAAACAGAGAGACCCACTTCTGCATCCAGCCAGAACTCAGCCACCGTATGTAGTTCTGACATTTCCCTTCAGTGATAACTTGCCTCTTCCCCTAACATGTCTTAGTGTTTAGATACATTTAAAGAATGAGGTTTCTTCAAAAGACCCAATTTAGACCTAATTTCTTCTGTCTTGGGTCAGCTGTTTTCAGGCTGTATATATCCCATATTTGTATTAAACTTCTTCCTACTTCTAGTGTTCATATCCTTGTTGTCTGACTATTAGAATGCCTCCTTGTTCTGTCAGAAGACTGAACACATTGGTGTAAATCAGCTTGGTGTTCTTGTGGAGAATGTGAAGGTTCTGACCCACCTCTGCTGTTCCTGCATGGATGTACTTTCAGAGCACAGGAGCTTCAGGCACTGCAGCCCCACAGGTTGACACCCAGCTGAGAGAAGTGGAGAACCTGGAGGACTTTGCATACAGTCCTGCTCCTCGAGGTACCACAGTGAAGTGCCGGATAACCAGGGATAAGAAAGGAATGGATCGGGGCCTCTTCCCCACATACTTTATGCACTTGGAAAAAGGTGACAATCGGAAGGTATGAGAATTAATTCCTAGCTGAGGCACCACACACAGCTGGCCCTCCCTCCCGCCTTCCTTTCCTCCCTTTCTTTCTTCTTTCCTTCCTGTCCTGTTGCAGACTGAACCCATGGCCTCAAATGTACAAGGTGAGGGCTCTACCACTGAGCTACTCCCCTGTCCCCTGAGGTGACTCTTGAGAAATCTGTTACGGGGGTTCTTGGTGGCCTCCAAGTGGTTGGCACTATTACTCCCGTGATTCTGTGTTCCTGTTGTCTTCAAAGTGCTCCTAGTCCAACAGACAAGCTCTGCCCTTCCTCCATAACCACCACCCCATGAAAATTAATTTTATCCGTAATTTAAGAAAACAGAGCAGAATTTTTCTTTCCTGGTGCTAGAGGTCAGACACAGGGCCCTGTGAATGCCAGGCAGATGTTCTCCACTGAGCTACCAAGCCAGCCCCAGTGAGTATGTTAATATAATTATTTCTACTTCCTTCCCAGTGTCTATTTTTTAATATTACTGTGTGTTCTTTGGTTTTTCTTTTTATTGTGACTGAATAAAATACTGTGGAAGGAGAACAGGTTTTAGGTTGTAGGAGAAATTGGAAATCAGAAGGTTGTGTTAAATATGAAATATAGAAGGTATGTTAAATATTTTATTTTTCATTCTAGAAATTCTAATTTATAAGTTTAAGACCATTTAATCCTTCCTAATAAAAATGCATTTTGTATTAATACCAGGACTAAGGGGATTGATTTTAAGAGCTTAGAAACAAGATAACGATAGCAGGCATTATTGTTATTATAACTACTATATATTGAATGTTTATAAGATACCAGGCATGCACTAGATATTATGTGTATTATCACCTGCAGTTCTTATCACAACATTACTAGGTAGGCTTTCTTGCCTCTGCTTTGTAGATTGGGGAATAGGGCTTGGGGAGTGACATACCTGTCACAGTCACACTTAAGTGGCAGAGCCAGATTTGAGCCCCTCTGTGTGATTCCAAATTCCTCACGCTCAGGCACTGCCATTCCTGTTTCCTTAGCATTGTCCCACTCTGGTGGATTTAGGGAGGGTGCATAAATATGACAGTATTCTTCCCCTGACATGACAGGACCCAAAACGACAAAGTACAAAGAGGGGCAGCAGGAAGCAGGAAGGTGAGCACGGTCGTGCCTCTCCTTGAGACAAACTTTTTTTTCCAGTACTGAGGATCTGAACTATGTCTCAGCCTTTTTAATTAATTAATTAATTAGGTTTGTTTCTGTTTTTGTGGACAGGTCTCACTATATAGTTTAGGCTGACCTTGTAGCCCAGTGGCTGGCCTCACAGTAATCCTGCCTCAACTTCCCAAGTGCTGGGATTTCAGTGTGCCACCATGCCTGGCTATTTTTTTCATTTTGAGACACAGTGTTGTAAACTTGTGATCCTCCTACCTCAGCCTCCCTCAGAGCTGGTATTATGGATGTGCCCATTTGGGTTTAGTGATAGTGTTCCTGTTCGTGGCACTGGGGATTGAACCCAGGTTCTTTGCACTTGAGCTATGCCTGTAGGCCCTAGGCTCCGACTCAGTCCTCCTGCGCCAGCCTCCCAGAGTGCTAAAATTATATGCGTGCACCACCACACCTGGCTTGGAAAAATTGATTTATGGCATTGGATGAAGATTAGTCACTTAAAAGATACTAGAAGCCATAAGATAAAGTTGTAAATAATTATATGGAGAAAAAAATAATAATTATATGGAGAATCAAAATAGTGAGTTGAGGGGCTGGGGATTTTGCTGAGTGGTTCCACTGCCTGCCTCGCAAGCACAAGGCCCAGGTTCAGTACCAGGCACACACACACAAAAAAGTGAATTGAGGGAAATTGTGCAGAAAGGAAACTGTGACTGTGAATACTACTCACTGCCTCTCACCCCCACACCCAAGGTCCCCCAGGGGCAAGCGCTGTACCATCCTGCCACCAAGCTTCACCCCTCTTCCAGTGGATTTCTTGCACATTGAGAGGGTTAAAGGATAAAGATGAAAAATTGACTGGTAGACACTTGCTAAATACTGGCTGGACTTACAGGGAGAACCATAGGGATCTGCTTGACTTCATTTTTTTGGTACCAGAGATCGAACTCGGGACCTTGCACTTGTGAGGCAGGCGGCAGAACCAATGAGCTAAATCCCTGGCCCTTGATTTCATTTTGTGACGGATACTTTTTTTCCCCCAGATATTTCTTCTTGCAGGTAGAAAGCGGAAAAAGAGCAAAACATCCAACTATCTGATCTCCACCGACCCAACAGATTTGTCTCGAGAAGGAGAAAGTTACATTGGCAAACTCAGGTGAGAAGCAGCCTTACACCTTTGTCCTGCCCGTTCTGTAGGGTTATTACTATTGTTTCAAAACAATCCACATGTTTTTTTACAATTAGCATGTACAGATGTGATAATCAAAAAAGAAGAAGAAAAAAACATTGTAACAAAATCCGGGTTCCCCCCTTGTTGCCACAAGAGATCTTTGAAGAAGTGACGCTGACCATCCAGACCTTGAGAACAGGCAGACAGGCCTGTTCCTGGCCTCTCCCTGACAGGAAAGTGCATCTCATGGTGACTTTGTCTCTTGGCACTAGGTCCAACCTCATGGGGACCAAGTTCACAGTGTATGACCACGGTGTCAGCCCCGTGAAGGCCCAGGGTCTGGTGGAGAAGGCCCACACCCGGCAGGAGCTGGCTGCCATCTGCTATGTGAGTGCCATCCCCTCTCTGTGCCCATCCCCCACTGTGCCCCCATACCCCCACTGCCTTCCAGAGTCATCTCTGATTCTCTGGTCCCCCTTTGGTTACTGCTGTCATTTTCTCCATATAGTCATGTTTTCATTATTTATGAATTGCCAGGTTCGGCTATTTTACATTTTCTGCTCTTGTTTTTAACTCTTTCTTTTTTTTCCTCCCCTCCCCTCCCCTTCCCCCTTCCCCCTTCCCTCCTCTCCCCTTCCCTTCTCCCTTCCTTCCCCTTTTCCCTTCCCTTCCCCTCCCTTTTCCCTTTCCTTTTCCCTTCCCCTTTTTTGGTGCCAGGGATTGAATTTAGGACCTTGCGCTTTCCAGGCAGGCGCTGTGCTGTTGAGCTAAATCCCTGGCTCCTGCTTTTCTGTTTTCATTATGTCACTTAATTTAGACCTTCTTTACCTCTTATCCATTGACCAGTACAATAATTTAAAGCTGACCCCTCTACTTTTAGTCTTTCCTTCCTTCCTTCATCCTTCCTTCTGACCTTTTCCTTTTTCTTTTTCTTTTTTCTCTCTTTTATTCCTCCTTTTCCCCTCCCTCACTCTCTCCCTTCCTTGCTGCCCTCCTCCCGATCACCTCTTTCTGACAGGGTCTTGCTACATAGCCTGGTCTGCCCTCGAACTCCTGGGCTCAAATGATGCTGTTATCCCAGCCTCCCAAGTCACTGGACCAAAGGCCTGGGCAGCACCTAGCCCACTACTCTTCTCTTTGGTTCACTCTGTGCTTCTGCTTAGTACGTTTCTCTCCACTGGGGACTCAGCTGACCCTGCTGGTCTCCTGCTTCAGATCTGTCAGTGGCCACCTGTTCCATTGAGCAGGGGTGGTATCCTATATCATGTTGGAATTCCATCATTGCATAAGTGTCATGGAGGGTACTTGACTTTTAATGACTGTCCATTGAGACATTCCATGGCTGTGATCCCAGCATTCGCGGGGACTGAGGCAGGAGGATCACAGATTCAAGCACAATGTGGGCAATTTAGAGACTTAACTAAACCTTGTCTCAAAATTAAAATTAAAAAAAGGTTGGGGATGTAACAGTGCAAGGGCTCGAGGTTCAAACCCTAGTACTACTAAATACTCACTTGCATACATACACTCACACCCTCTGAATACAAAAGAAAGTCTGGCCAAGTGTGATGGCACACGCCTGTGATCCCAGCACTCGGGAGGCTGAGGTGGGAGGATTGCCACAAGTTTGAGGCCAGCCTGTACTACATAACAAGTCTGTCTCAAAAACAGAAGAGGAAGAAGAAGAAAATGTGGATATCTTAGCCTTTCCTTTCAGACTGTTCTTGGGCACTCTACCCTCCCAGTCCAATTATTCTAGCCACAGTGCCCCCCAGAGCCCTTCACCTGGCCTCACTGGTCTCCCATCTGAGAGTGCTCCTCTGTCCCTTGCCTTTTGATCAGTCATCTGTTGATGTCATCTGCTGCTGACATCAACCGAGAAGTCTTTGGTGACCGCTGGACAGGGCTGGCATCTGTAATCTGCATATTGCCATAGTGTTAGTACCTGCTGAGTGTGAACGTCCTGTACTACTCTGTAAGCTCTTTTGAACTCTTGTGCACTCTGGACCACACTGTCGGAGGGCCTGGTACACAGTCGCCATTCAGAGTTGTTGAGTTAAAAAAAGCCAGAGAGCTGGGCTTGGTGGCGCACTCCTGTGATCCTAGCACTCAGGGTTGAGGCAGAGGGATCACCACAAGTTCAAAGCCAAGCTAGACTATGTAGTGAGATTAGGACCAGCCTGAAATACATCTCAAAAAACCAAAACCCAGACCAAAAAAATTCTACTAAAGACTGAAAGTGAAGTATCAACACAATCCAACCTATTTTATATGTAGGCATTTAATATTTTTTAAAAAAAGTTCCAAACTACAGCTGGGTATAACATTATGCATCCATAATCCTAGCACTCCCGGAGACTGAGACTGGGTGGGGTGAGGGTGCAGAGAATGTCACTCATCACAAAGGCCGTGGTTCAATCCCCAGTACCTCATGTTTTTTTTTTTAAGTACAGAAACACTTTCTTGGGTTTTTTCTTTTGAGACAGAGTCTTGTGTGCCCAGGCTCAAACACCAGGGTTCATATGTTCCTCCAAGTAGTTGGGACTGTAGATCTGCAGATGCCACTGTGCCTGGCTTCCTTTTTTTTTGGTACCAAGAGGATCAAATTCAGGTCCTTGTGCTTGCAAGGCAGCAGCGAGACCACTGAGGTAAATCCCTGGCCTGGCTTCCTATTTTTGATTTTCTCTCTCTCTTTTTTTTTAATCAGAGCAAAGTAATGAAATCATTCTTGGTCCTCTTGGTGTTGCCAGCATTTGCCATGCCTAGAAAGTCTTGTAATGGGACAGAATTGCTCCTTTTCCTTTGTTTCCAAATTCTGCCTTGTTTTCCTGTCTCCCAGGAAACAAATGTGCTTGGATTTAAAGGGCCTAGGAGAATGTCTGTGATTATTCCAGGGATGAATATGAATCATGAACGGATCCCATTTCAGCCACGAAATGTAAGTAAGAGCATATTTAATCAGCAGAGACCCATGAGAGACAGTAGTGCTGAGAAGATCCCACTACACACATTCCTGGTCCTTCCAGCCCCCGCAGTGTTGTCTGGCTCACCCCTCTTGGGAGCTGTTGCTCACAATCTGAGGACAGGGCAGCTCCAGAGGTGTGGCTTCAGTCAGGGATCTAAAACCATCTCAAATACGGCACAAAGGAATGCTGGATTGTGTGTAGAACTGAAAAGGAAAAACCTGAGTTCCTGTTTTGTTTTAATTCTTTGCTTTTTTCTACCCTTTCTGAAATAGAAAACATTTCCCTACTCTACTTTTTACCTGGAAGAACTGGGAATAAACCTGTTCTACGGTCCCCAGTACAGAACAGTGTTCTTCCCCTTCACAGGATCATGAGAGCTTGCTTTCCAAATGGCAGAGCAAAGCCATGGAGAACCTGATTGAGCTGCACAACAAAGCCCCGGTCTGGAATGACGATACGCAGTCCTACGTCCTGAACTTCCATGGCCGGGTCACTCAGGCGTCAGTGAAGAACTTCCAGATAGTGCACGATAATGACCGTAAGCCCTGGTCTTTGCTTGTGATGAGTGGGCACTCTTAGCTGCCTCTCCCCAGCCTTACACGTTCCCTTTTCTGTAGCAGCACTGGGGTTAGATTGTACCAGGGCTTTCACAGTGAACTATGTCCCCACCCTTTTTTATTTTAGCCAAGGTCTTGAGCTGGACATGGTGGCCCACTCCTGTAATCCCAGTATTCAGGAGGCTGAGACATGAGGATTGCCATGTATTTAAGATCATCCTAAACTACATAGTGAAACTCTGTCTTCAAAAAAAATGAAAAAGGGGCCAGTGACTTAGCTTAGTGATGCCTCGCCAGACTCACAAGTGCAAGGTCCTGAGTTCCACCCCGGTACCAGGAAAAAAAAAAAAGAAAAGGAGAGAGAGACTGAATCTTGCTAAGTCACTAAGTTGCCCAGGCTGGGCTCAAACTTGTGATCCCCCTGCCTCAGCCTCCCAGAGTGCTGGGATTACAGGCTTGGGCCACCACACCCAGCTAAGATTTCTGTATTATTTATTTTATGTCCTGGGGATGGAAACCAGGGCCTTGTGCACACCAAGCATGCATGCCACCACTGTGCTATGGCACTGTCCTTTCCCCCTTTTTCAGTTAAGGAGAACTGGTGATGAACTGACCAGTTTGATGTTTTGAATTTTTTTCCCCTCTTCCTTACATAGGTTTTTCCTTGATCCAGTCATTTTCTTTTTACTACCGGGGTTGAACCATCAGTCTTCATACTGAGCTATATCTGACCCATTTATTTATTTATTGGTACTGGGGATCGAACTTGGGACCTTGTGCTTGCAGGCAAGTGGTGGAACCACTGAACTAAATCCCTGGAACTTTTTATTTTTATTTTGAAACAAGGTCTCAATAAATTGACCACGTTGGGTCAGACTTGCAATCCTCCTGCTTCAGCCTTCCCATAGCTTGTATTACAAGCAGAATCATCACCCATATCACCTTGTAACACCTGCTTGCTTTCTGCTTCTAGCTGACTACATTGTCATGCAGTTTGGGCGTGTGGCAGATGACGTGTTCACACTGGACTACAACTACCCACTGTGTGCACTCCAGGCCTTTGCCATCGGGCTCTCCAGCTTTGACAGCAAGCTGGCATGTGAATGAGAGGAGCATCAAGGAGCTGCTCCACACATGGCTCCCAGGAGCAGAAGTCAGCCCTCCAGATGGTCTCTGAGCACATGTATACGTGTGTGTGTGTGCACATGTGCTCACGGGTGTGTACGTTCACAAACACCCCTGCTTTGGGTTGGAGAGACTCTGTCAGGGTGCAGTGTGTAATGGGTAACCAAGTGTTCACAGCCAGAAAGCTCCTTGTCAGGAACTGGTGACCTCTGAAGTTGCTGTCCTGCAGCTGAAGAATTGAATTGGGCTCTCACAGGGTTTTTTTTGGTACCAGGGATTGCACTCAGTACCTTGCACTTGCCAGGCAGCACAGTGCCACTGAGCTATATCCCCAGCCCCTTTTTTTTTTTTTTTTTTTTG